CGTCCCCATGAAAAGCACATCGTAGGAGCGGCCGTCGAGGGCCTGCACCCTGTCCACAGCCAGCCGGCTGTACGCCACGCTCTTCTTCACCAGCAGCGGCTCCCCGCCGGCCGGCTTCACCTCCTCGAACATGAGCGGGTGCAGCTTGACAAAGTCCAGGACGCTGTTGGGCAGGTCCTGCGAGGAGTTGTAGCCCTTCCTGCGGGAGCGGTCCGTGATGCACTGCCCAGGGGAGATGGGAGTCAGGGGGTGATGCGGCCGCCCCACACCCCGCCCCGCTCTGCACCCCTGGGCACTCACGGAGCCAGGCCGGGGCTCAGGCGTGCCATCGTAGCGGGACCACTTGCGAGCCGAGTCCTGGTACTCCATGAAGGGGCCCTCGAAGGCGTGCTGCACCGCCGAGATGCTGTAGCGGCACACGGCCGAAGCCTCCATCGTCCTCCTGGGGACCAGAGCCCTGCCTGAGCCCGGGCGGACACGTGGGTGCTCCCCACTGATGTACTCCCAGGTGCTCAGTGCCCGCCTGTGCATCCTCTCAAGCATCTCCGGTGACCCCATGCCACACTGTTAGCCCCAGCCATTTCAGCTGCTGCCCCGCTCACCACTGTGCCGAGAGGGTGAAGGCGGCGTAGAAGACGGTGCTGGCCCAGCCACCCCCGTCCAGACTGCAGACACTGCGCAGCACCTCGTAGTAGGGGATGTAGCAGACCAGGCGTGCCTTCATGAAGGACGTCCATTTGCGCTGCAGGATCTTCTTCCCCCCAGCGTCGCTCTGGGAGGGTGCAGGGAGCACTTCAGCACAGGCTGCTGGGGCTATGTGTCCCCCCCCGCCTGTGCCTCGGTTTCCCCAAGATGCAGGCATGCAGCCCCTTGCACTGGGAGGGGCAGCGCTTGGCTGCCCATGGCCAGGGACATCTCTACCTTGCAGACACGGGCCACCCGGGCCACTCGGGCCACCTGGCTCTTGTCAAAGAAGGACGTGGTCTCCTCGCCTGCCCGCTCCATGAAGAAGTAGTAGATTTTGTCATCGTCACCCACAGGGCTGTCCTTGCTCTCCTGGACCAGCACAGAGGCCACAAACTCAGCATCTAGGGAATGCAGAGCGAGAGGTGATCAGGGACATGCTAAGAGATCAGTGATCCCTCCCTGCCTTGGTTTCCCCTCATGGCAAACCACACGGGACCCCAGGGCCACCCCGA